GCTGACGACGGGGGTTTCGCCCTGGACCACCCGGCAGATTGCCCTCTGGGACCAGGTGGGTGCCGGGACCCCCGCTCCGTCCCCACCGGGACCCCCTCTCACCGCGAGCATCGGGACCTCTTGCTTAACGAATTGCCTTCTCCTCTTACGCAGGAAGACCTGTCCATGCCCCTGATAGAGGAGGAGATCGACGGGCTCTCGGGTCTCCTCTTCCCTTTCTACGACGCCGACACTCACATGCTGTACTTGGCTGGCAAGGTACGGGGCTGCAATCCGCATCCCGCGGCTGTGGGGGCTGCGATTTGCATCCCGGGGAGGCGAAGGGGCCTCTTGCCAGCAAACGACGCCGGGGGGAAGAGCCGTCCTGGGAGCAGGGCTGTGCTGAGCCCCGAGCAAAGCGTTACGCAGCAATTTGGCCACGAAACCCTGGTTTGGAGATGCCCGCCGCGTTGCATGAGCGGGCAGCATCCTGCCGGGTGATGCCCGGGGCTGCGGCATCCCCAGCCTGTCTCCCCCCGGCGTTTCCCAAGGATGGGGTGCTGGGGGTTGTTATCATCTTATCGTTTGCCAAAGCAGCGCAACCCCTCTCTTCCCTGCCCTCGCTCCAGGGTGATGGCAACATTCGGTACTACGAGATCGGCTCGGAAAAGCCCTACCTGAGTTATCTCATGGAGTTTCGCTCCCCGGCCCCACAAAAAGGACTGGGTAAGGATGGCCATGCTGCTGCCCCTGCATGGGCAAAGGCAGCTGATGGAAGGTGCTGCTTCAGATGCTGCTTGAAAATGGGGTTGGCAGGGGTTTGGTGGGCCCTGTGCCAGCTCTGGAGCGCCAACGCAGGGCTGCAGTGTTCGGGTTGTCCTGCTGCCCTCCCCGCAGCACTGCAGCCAGGCTGGGGCTGGCTCCCACGCACGCCTGGGGACACCCTTCCTGCTGTCCCATGTGCCACGGCTTTACCAGGGGACATCAGTCAGTGAGTCCTGCAATTTGTCCTGAATAAAAGCTGCTCAGCCCTTTCCCAATGTCCTAGAATCGTAGAATCACAGAATGGTTTGGGTTGGAAGGGACCCCTGGAGGTCACCCAGCCCAGCCGCCCCGCAGGGAGCAGGGACACCTTGAACCAGATCAGGTTGCCCACAGCCCCGTCCAACCTGGTCCCTGCAAACACCCCTGGTGTGGGCCAGGTCTGTGTCCCTGGTCCCCAGGGTGATGGCAGGGATTAATTCAGCAAAAATCTAGGTCTCCTGATGGAGAGCGAGGACATTTTGGGGTCCTACTCCGTGCTGGGAGCAGGGGGGGGGCGGATGGGTCCCAGCCTTCTGCCCGGGGTTTGCAGCACCCGGGGGTCGTTGTCTGTGCCTCTCTGCAGGGGTGATGCCGAAGCACGGGTTGGACGTGTCAGCCTGCGAGGTCTTTCGTTTCTACAAGCTCATCACCCTCAAGGGGCTGATCGAACCCATCTCCATGATCGTGCCGAGGAGGGTGAGTCCCTCACCGCACCCCGGGGTGCAGGGACGGGCTGGGGGGGCGAGCAGCATCCGAAGCAGGGCCGGTGTGCTGGAGATGCCCCCGCTCGCCCCGCTTGGCTGACCAGTCCCACAGCTGCGCCTCTGCACCAGCCTTAGACCCCCCAGTCGTGTCCCTTCCCAGGCATGGCATTCCCGGGGAGGGGGGGTACCCAAGGCTTAATGGGAATGTTTTTAGCAAATGCATCTCTGCATTGCTCCCGGCCTTGATGCCATTGCTTTGTGCAAAATCAGCTTTGTGGCGGGTAACGAGGGGCTTGCCTGGGTTTGGGGGGCTGTTTCTGGTAAAATATATCTCAGAGCTGGAGCAGGGTTTGGCGTTTGCCTTTCCAGCGCTGCCTGTGGCTGGAAGCAAACCCAAACCGCCCGGCAGGGCCGCGCGCAG